CAGTGTTATGCAGCTAGAAGATGACAAGTGCTCCAACCCCAGTATCTCTGCTGTGATTCTGGTGTAGAATCTACAAAATCAGAACCACCTCCTTTTTCTCTTCTTCTTCTTTTTGGCAATACTAGGATTGGAACTCAGGGGTCTTGTGCTAGCTAGGCAGCATGATACCACTGAACCATGATTCTAGTCTGGTTTTCACTGGTTATTTTTAGGCTAGGGTCCTGCTATTCCAAACAAAAACCTTCAGTTCAAGCTGTGAGTTCTCTGCTGAAAGACAGTGTCATTGCTGGTCACACTGACCATAAAGATGTGCAGGTCTGCCATCCCAGCTACGTCCTAGGGCTCTGGGCTTATAAAAAAAAAAGACCCTATGTTGGAAATGAGCAGTATAGAAAGGACCTGGCAGTGTAGCTCACATGGTAAAGCACCTGCTTAGCAAGCATGAACCCTGAGTACCTCCAATAAAGAAATAAAAATTACAGCTTTATTGAGATATGTTCCAAGGCCCCCAGAATATACTTTTTTTTTGTCCTGAAATAATCACTTTGACCATGTTGGTTTATTGTTAGTCTGTTTTATCATTTCTGCAATAATATATACTTAAATAATGGTGCTCAAGTAACTTGTGACAGAAGTATTCCCCACCTTGCTACAACCTCTTAATAACAGTATGTGTATTAGTTTTATTAGTGGTGTGGATTTGTAACAAAAGAGCCTTGATGCCTATGTAGGCAAAGGCTGAAGTCAACCACTAGGGACCGTATTGTCTCTTCGTTTCAGGATTCACATAGGCAACTCTGGAAGTTCTTTTCCTTTGTAACTGCAGCATCCACTTGACTGTTCCAAGGACAGTTGATGACAGAAGACATTTGACCCTCACCTCATTGATTTTCTTAGAGACAGAAAGAGAGAAAGAGTGAGAGAGCAAAAGCTAGCGTAAGAGCAAGAGCGGGAGAGTAGGAGAGAGAAAGGGAGAGAAAGAGAAAGGGGCAGAGAGGGATAGAGGGGAGAGAGAGAGAGAGAGAGAGAGAGAGAGAGACACCAATTGTGGTTCTCATAACCAGGCTCTGTTCCTTCCTCTGGAGCTTCCGGGTGCTTGAGTAGTGAATAGGTGATGGTATTTCCATTCTCTCTTTTGGAAGTTTCCTCACAATCAATGGGATTGACTGCTTTCTGTTTTCGCTTGAGGTAGCTCAAAATTGCTATGGCAACAACAATGACTGCTACAATAATCCCAGTGACCATAGCCACAATCACCATCACCACTGAGTCACTTGACTCAGGCCTTTGGACAGTGATGGCCACAGACTTGGATGAGTAGGAACATCCTTCCTATATTTCCTGTGCAGTAGTAATCACCACTGTGACTAAGATTGGCATTGGGGATGGAGACTTTACTACTGAAATGGGAGAACTTCTTGGATGTCCCATTCTGGTAGAAAGTGATCTTGTTCAGAAAGCTGTCTTTCCAGCTGTGGCACCTCATCACAATGGTGTCCCCCTCCTGGAACACCAGTTGAGGGGTCTGAAGCAGCAGCCAGTCGGCTATCACAACCAGATGCACAGGGTCACTGAGGCTGGTCTGGCTCATCTGGCACCTGTACTCCCCACTGTCATTTCTCTTGGCTTTAAAGTTGTAGTTGGGCTGGACCTGGGCTGGGATGGATTTCCCATTGTGGAACCATTGTGTGGAGTGGTTCCCAGGGTTGTGGGACCCCTGGCAGGCTAGTGTCACATTGTCTTCCTGGAGTACCTGGATCCATGGAGGCTCAAGTCTCACCACAGCCTTGGGGAGATCAGGTGTGCCGGCTACTAGAGCCAGGAATAACACAGCTGTCCACAGTAGCATGTGATCCCAAATCTGCAAGGGCTTGCAAACAGCCCAGTCACTCTCAATGGCAAGTAGAGATAGAAATGCTGGGATTCACCCCTGAAGCGATGTGGCTCTAGATGCTCACAGGCACAGGCTTCTGTCCAGACTTGGCAGAGTCAACTCAGAGGAGAAATTCAGAGTAGAGAAGTGGTGTGGATGTGGATGTGAAGGCCAGCAATTGTATTGGTGAAAAGTTTCGCGTGGTGTCTCAAGGCAGTTCGGTTCACAGAAAAGGGGTGGTTAGGAAATTCTAACATTTCCAACTCAAAAACTCTATCCAAGTCACGGCACCATATGTAAGATAAATAGGTAGGTTTCATTAGGTACCCAATGAGGAGAATACCACGTGCTATTCAGGCAGGAAAATAAGTTTTCCCAGAATATACTTTTAAAGTGTACTTTACTTGCCAGGCACTGGTGGCTCACACCTGTAATCCTAGCTACTCGGAAGGCTGAGATCTGAGGATCATGGTTCAAAGCCAGCCTGGGCAGGAAAGTCCCTGAGACTCTTATCTCCAATAAACCACCAGAAAACCAGAAGTGGCGCTGTGGCTCAAGTGGTAGAGTGCTCGCCTTGAGCTGAAAAGCTGAGAGACAGCGCCCAGACCCAGAGTTCAAGCCCCACAACCGACTAAAAATAAAAAAGTACTTTTTTTGTTTTTTGTTTGTTTTTTTTTTTGGTGGAAAAAGTATTTATGGAATTGTGCAACCAGAAACACAATTAATTTCAGAACATTATCATCATCCCATTATAAAAAAACAACAACTTGTACCCATTAGCAGTAGCTCCCCATTTCTCCTTCCTATCAGTCATGCATCTACTTCCTGTTTTTATGTATTTATTTGTCTTTTCTGGACATTTATTGTATGTGGGTCCACACAACATGGGCTCTTTCATGTTTGGCTTTTTTTACTGAGTGTAATACATTCAATGGACATCTATACTATAGCACCCACCAATGCTTCTTGCTTTGCATTTCCTAGTGAATGGATGAACAGGCCTCATTTTGTATGGCCACTTATTCTTAGAGATGGGCATGGGTCTACTTGTAGATTGTTAATGAACAATGTTTCTGTACACATGTATATACATGTTCTTTATATGGCATATGTTTTCAGTTCTTTGGGCATATGTTTTCAGTTCTCTTGGCTATAAACATAGGAATGGAATTTCTGGGTCCTATTCACTGAGTTTAGTGTTTAAATTGACTTCTTTTTGCTTGTGGGATCTGCATCCTTAGTTTTTGCAAGTGAAAATAAATTCACTTCCTCGGTGCTGAGTGTTGTCAACAGCTTGATATAACATGAACACATCTGGGGCCCAGGTTAAGATTCTGTGAGTGAATCATGCAATCATAAGTACGCTTATTGTATAGAGTTGATGCTTGACTATATTTGTTTTGTTCTCTTCCTAGCTTCTTCTTACTCTAATATTCACCCAATTTTTTTTTCTTTTCTTTTCCAGAATCGCAATGAAATAAAAAACGGCACTATCCTTCGATTAACCACATCTCCAGTAAGTTGATCTTAGTAGGTTATTTCATCTTAAGCTGCCTATCCTCTGGGTCTGCTGTATGTGCTTATAGAATGCTGTTTTTTGAGAGTGACTGTACTCTAAAACAGAAAGTCCCTGGGATGTCCTCATGCGCACCGTCTAGTTTAATTAGAAGTCTCTCCAGTTTATTTCCCGTGACAGAGGAGGAAGGAACCTATTCCACTGTGAACAGAGAATGGATTGGGAATCATGGAATTGGAGTTTGGTGGCCATCTCAACAGCTCTTACATTACTGATGAATAACTTGGCTATGCAGATTTTTTTTATCATCTTCCCTGAGCAAATTCAGAGAAACAAAGCAAGCCAAACCAAAACCAGGCTATTTCTTTATTTAAAATCTATGGAGTGGGGGGTGGTGGGAGAAAAAGGGGTAGGAGGAAGGGAGGGAGGAAGGAATGGAGGGGGAAAGAGAAAGACAGAGACAGAGAGACAAAGACAAAGACAGGTTGAATTTAAATATTGCCTAGTGTTGGTCAGTGATGATGAAAATTGATGAAAAAATGGATAAAAATTGATTTAAAATAGTAAATGTTGGGCCATTTAGGCTGTTTCATGGATGCTAATCAGAACTCGTGCATATCTGAGTGTGAAAGCTGTTGAACAAGGTGCCTGTGGCACTTGACAGTGAATGGGTGGCATCCTGGTCTTTCTTGTTTTCTGGTCTAGTTGGGGTAGTAACATTAGCATATTTGAGCCATATTGCTCCACACTGCATTTCCTTGCTTTCCTAAAAAATACAAGCAGCACAAAATATACCAAGTGTTACTATTTCCACCCTCACAGTTGAGGAAAACTGTGTCTATCTATCATTTCCAGTTGTCACTAAAGCCATGTGCTAGGCTAAAAATAAATTTCAAAATGGAGAAGAAAGCATCTGGCTAGAATTAAACTGTGGGCAGTGTAACTACCACAGATCCATCTTGTTGAAAATTACATTAGAGAGGTTTAAAAACTGCTAAGTATTTTGCTTTCATTTAAATTGGTCTATTAATTTTTTAATTTTTATTTGTATTGTAAGGCGATGTGCAGAGGAGTTAGAGTTACGTGAGTCAGGCATTGATTACATTTCTTTTTGGACAGTGTCACCCCCTCCCTCATTTTTTCTGTTTTATTTTTCCCCTCCTCCGCCCCCCGCCCCGATTCCCCACGTTCTATAGTTCATTTCCAACACATTGTCTTGTGAATATCACTGCTGAGTTAGTTCACCCTCTATCCCAGCATTTCTGTGCTTCCCTTTCCCCTCACCAAAGCTGATAAACTTACATACAAGACAAAAGTATTTTATCCTAAGACATCTCCAACCTCAACATAGGGATGGGCTCAGTAGACAGAATGACTGGGTTGCTGCAGCCATTGCCCGGTGCCAACTTCCCTGCTTCACAAAAATGATAGTTTGCTGTCCTTTTTCTGTGGTTGTACAGTGGGTTGAGTCATTTTTGTCTGACTTCCTGAAATTAATGTGAATTAATACAAATGTGACCCTTGGAGGTGAGCATTTCATTTGTGCTTTGCATTCCTATTTATCCTGCTCAAAGTCCGTCATCTGCTTGCCAGGCAGGGAAGTGCACACCGTGTCTTTTGTTTCCTCTTAGAAAGGCTCAGCTTTTTCTCTTGGCCATCTCCAAGCCAAAGAAAGAATTGGTTCCCCTCACTAGGGATTCATGGACAAAATTTCCACATGCTCAGTCGCTCTTAGAAAGGAGGTTCAGTGTCAGAGAGAGGAGGGTGGTTTTTACAGCATCTCCAGGGTGGCATTGTATTTTTTTTATTTTTTTACATTTGTTCATTTTTATTCACAACCTGTTTTTCAGTACAATTTTCCACCTGTTCCCATTTCCAGTCGGGTTATACAAGTGCTAAGTGGCAGAAAGTTCTGGAATAACTACACCAAAGAAGGAAAACAAAGCAAAGCTGTGAGATAAGTTGCATGTAGCAGGCCCCAGAGCAGCATTTTAACTCTGTGGAGATCTGTCATCTCAGAGCAGGGATTTTGTAAAATATCCTTCACATTCCCAGCTCTGTTAATGGAAAGATGGTAGAGATAGCAAGCAGGATGCCGCTACAAGACAAGACTGGCTTATATTTCCAAACCTGGGGCAGTTGTGGACTTTGACCTGCAAGTGTGCAGGCCTTGGGTTACGTGTCTGAGACAGCACACCAGACTCTGCATTTGAAACACTGCCTTGTGCTCTGTGGATGGACACAGAGTCTAGAATTGGCCATTAGTCACAACAAAATATTTGGGATCTGAAAATGTCATTAATTGCTAGATTACTTTCTGTAATTTTGTTTAAAATTGAAAATTGAATTGAGAATTAAAAAATATGGGTCACACATGGTAACTTGTGTGTGTGTGTGGGGGGGGTCTTGGGGCTTGAATTCAGGGTCTGGGCGCTGTCCCTTAGCCTTTTCACTCAATGCTAGTTTTCTACCACTTAAGCCAGAGCTCCAAGTCCAACTTTTTAGTGATTAATTGGAGGTAAGAGTCTCATGGACTTTCCTGCCCAGGCTGGCTTGGAACTGAGATCATCTGATCCCAGTCACCTGCATAGCTAGGATGAAAGGCATGAACAATTGGTGCCTGGCTAATTCATTATTTTTTTGTGTGTGTGCTGACCTTGGGCTTGACCTCAGGATCTGGGTACTATCCTTAAACACTCTTTTGCTTAAGGCTAGTGCTCTACCACTTGCACCACAGTTTAGCTATTGGAGATGAGTCTCATGGATTTTCCTGACCAGGCTGGCTTAGAACTGTGATCTCCAGATCTCAGCCTTCTGAGTAGTGAGGATTACAAGTGTGAGCCACCTATGCCCATAGACAATAAAAATGAATTAAAAGTGAATTTATCCATCCATTTTTAAGATAAGATTACTGGAAAGAACACAGAAGAAGGTATTTTGCTACTTTAGGATTACAGGCATGGGCCACCAATGCTCAGCTGTGCTAATATTTAAAGTTCATGCACCTAGCAAGCTGAGTTCCCCCTCCTGGGAGATAAGACACTAGCAT